GGCTTCTCAGTGCCACAAAGCAGTGGGGGGGATGGGCGGGGGGCAGCTGTAGCTGGTCCCGCATCCTAGTGAGTGAAGGGGACAGGAGGAGTTCTGATTTGGGGGGTTGTATCAAGAAAAATCAAACATCAAAATATATAGGTATTCAGAATGTATTTTATTATAGTGATTGAGGTACTGGTAGGCTTCCAAATTGCTTTAAAATTATAAATATATCAATAAAACACTGTCTTCAACTGTGTGGCAGGGCACTGTTGGTGCCTGCCACTTTAAGGGCTGAGACAAACAGCCAGCAGGTGCTTGATTACGGCGGCCATTTTAGATCTCTGGCCGCCTATATAAACAGAGCAGTTAGCTGCTGGCAGGCCAGGCAGAAACACTGACTGGCTGAAAGTCTGTACAAAACATCTTGGAGGTAAGGGCAAGAGCTTATGGGGATGGTTTGGAGGCTCCTGGTCCTGGGTGTGACCTAAAATTGCACCCTGCCAGGAGTGGGTGGCCTGGTGGGGCTCTCAGTGGTGCAGGAGCCCCAGGAAATACCAGGCTAGTTACCACCCCAGTGAAAGGCGGGTCAAGGCACCTGAACCCCTAGCCCTTGCAACACTGTGGGTATAAGGGGGCCAGGCACAGCTATGGCCACCTAAGCCCCACAGGGGAGGAAAGCCCCGTGGCCCCACTGAGAGGGGGTGGAGATATGGAGCCCCAGTGAAGGGGAACCCAAAGGGCTGGGAGCCCAGTATATGTGTGTGAGTGTATGTAGAGTTGCCCCGGGAGGGGCCAGGGCAAGCTTGGACCCTGTTGGGTAATTGGCTGGCCACTACCCCAGTGAGGGTCACAGGAGAGGCCCAAAAGACAATACATCTGCCACCCAAGGTATGCACTAGATAAAGTCTATGGCTGAAGGGGCCTGCTCCAAGAGGGAGCAAGGCAGTATAAGTTGTCGATGAGTGAAAGAGACCCATTGAGAGGGGGTAGAGTGTGAGAGGCCCTAGTGAGAGGAGGGTGGTATGAATGTGTGTGTGTCTGAGGTCTGACAACAGGGGCTAAGCTTGGTCCAGCTGTAGGCCCGGGAGCATTGTCACCTGGATGCCAACTGCAAAGCTTGGGGTGTGGTGTAGGGGAGGAACGAAGCCACAAATAGTGCTCCCTGGCATCGGGGCAAGAATGAGCAGCCTCCTACCTAATTAACACCACAATTAAGAAATAAGAAGGTGCAGCAGGTGAGGAGGCTGGCAGTTGGCCCAGAAACAGGTGGGCGGGCCAGTGGCAGACTGACCCCAAGAAAACCCCATTACAAACTGATACCTATATATGTAGTGCCGTTTTATTTTAATCACTGAAAAATGCAGATTTCGGGGGTTTTAATCAGAGAATTTGTGAATTTTTATCAGAGAATTTGCAATTTTTAAACAGAGAAAACCAGGATCCCTGCTTATCTGAAAATCAGAAGCTTAACACGTATGACTAATAATTATACAAGAAATAAACACCGCAAGCAGTATTATTAGCCCCTCTGAAGTAAATGGCATGAATTCCATTGATTTCAATGGAGCTAAGATTTCCCCCAGAATCTTTCTCAGTTATATTTTGCATGTTAATGTAAAACTCATGCAGAAAAAGTATTTTGGATACTTCTACATGATTATGATGCAGATCCCAAAGTATGTATGATGTAGGATCCTAAATATTCTTAGGTATGTGGCATAATCTGGCAGTATATTTGGATTTCCTTACATTTAAAAAGTTTTCTTTGGCCTCTTCAGTTGCAACCAGATAAAAGTTCTGTCCATATTTGAACTCCGTGTCTAAGACTATCAGAAGTTCTTCTCCTGGATACTCCTGCATGAAGAAATATAACAGATGATGTCAAGCATTCAACTTTCACAGCCAAGTATAAATGATATACAAAACTGTAGTTTACATTTCCAGATATCAACTATTTACATGTCTATTTCTGAAGTAAAACAACTTTTGTATCTGAAGAATTATACATATTTAATGAGAAGTTGAAAACAAGTAATGTGCAGATCTTGTGTCTGCTGATGTTAACAGCAAAACTCCTGCTAACTTTAAAGATGCATGATAGAGACAGGGTTTTGTGAGGCTGTACATGTTTAAAGCCCATTCTCCCTTCAGCAAAAATTTCATGTGCATCTTAAAAGGTGTAACTAGACCAAGGGTCAGCAATGTTTTTGGGCAGAGTGCCAAAAACACCCCAAACCTCAACTTGTAAGATGTTGGCATGCCAGGGCCAGATGGCAGGGGAGCCACGAGGAACCTGATCCTTGTTGTAGCATTGCAGCCCTGGCCCCTTCCCCACTGTCTGCCCCAAAGCGTGCATGCCAAGCAAAATGCCTTTGTGTACCATGCTCTGGCACCCTTGCCGAGGGTTGCCTGTCCCTGGACTAGACTCTAATGTCTGTTTTCTAATAAATACTTAATTTCCTTTATATGTGCATTTAAAGGTGATGTATGAAGATGAGAAATAAGAGAGTGTTTTCCTGAAGTATTCACAGATGGATAAATGAGGTTATACCTTACCAACAGAAAGTACATGCTATGGGGATGTAAGTCAGATATAAAGAGGTCACATACTAAGACTACTTTTTTGACTGGGTGGAAATCGGAGATTGCAGCCCTTGTCTTCATGTCTTGAATTATGTCCTCTTTTTTCAGAAGTTTGAAAGGGTTTTCTTCTGTGATGTCTTCGTTAACTCGGCAATTAAAAATTTCTTGCGTCTTTTCAGTGAATACCATTGGAAAGATTTCTGGGTGACCTAGGAAAGAGGTGGCAAATTTTCTTTAGAAGATTAACAATGCAGAAGGTATGTATGTACATATGAAATATGGTTTAAAATCTATTTTACTACATCACAACACACACACAGATCTCAGTGCTTAAAGTTTTTGGTCCATTTGGAGATGTGAGTTATAAATTCAATATAGAAAGTTTAGTTCACATTTCCTTTTGGTTAAGAAATGTTGGTGTTTAAATATCTTGTTTAAATACGTTCTCAAGAAAATGAAGAGTGAGTTCACAGACTGCCTGCTAGCCTGCCTATAGCTAATCCTTCCATGCTATGACAGAAGTTTCATGCCAGCAGGGGGCTTTGTAGAAAGCCAAGAAACATTTATTTTTCTCTACATTAGCATCTGTAAAGTTCTGAAATGTTTTTAGGGTGAGGGTAAATCCTGGTTTTGTCTCTTTTTTGGCTGATGAGAATCCTTCCTGTTATATGGAAATGTTGTGTCACTTTGCAGAAAAAAAGTACAGGAGCCAGATGAAAACAACCATATCTAAAGAAACACAGGGACAAATAGTCATTTATTCTCCACTTGAATTTTGTGTTGCTTCTAAAGATTCTGGGTGTGCTGGGAGAACATAAGGCCAGTATGCACTTTGCTCTTATTTCTGACTATTGAAGGCCAGTAGAAAAAGTACTTGATCTTTGCTAAAGGAGATTATTGTTGTGAGGGAACAGAGGACCAAATAATGTTAAGGATGTATATAAATATCCCATGTTCAGAAATAAAGTTATAAATGTTGGTTTCCTGTTCAATTAGTTATCTGTACCTAACTGTTATTACAAGAGATTCTGGAAGAAGTGACTATGAGAGATTGTTTTATTGCATCTTGAAACATCAGACTTCCTTAACCCTGTTGTGCTTGGTTTGGACTACTTTATTTGTATTGGGCGATGGATGAAGACCACGGAAGCATCCAGACAAAGGCAGACGTTTGGTTCCCTGGGGACAAGTAGGAGCAGTGCACCTTGCACCGCAGCTGTCTGTCCCCAGGGAATGACTGTGCCACATGCACTTTGGCACGTAACAAGTTACCTTGGGGGTGGTAGGGGAGGCTGGACCCAGCAACCTTACTTGGGGTCCTGGGGCCTCCTGTGGCTGCAGCTGCAGCAATCCTCTTGGGAGGAGCCTGGCTGGCAGCCACAGCATGGCTTTGGGTGACTCAGCTCCACTTTTTAGCAGTGTGCACTGCTCGTTTGTCAAAAAACCCACAGGAAAAAAACAAACAGAGCAGCGTGCACACAGGCAGCGTGCCCTTGCAGCATAGAGAACACCTCACTGTGCAGTATGTGGCACTGCAGATGTGTTTGTGGTGCCATATATTGCATGGCCATGCTCATCTGGACACGCCCTAGGGATCCGTTCTGATACCGTCAGAATTACCCGCTGTCCTTGCTACTGTTAATTATGAGGTTAACTCACCTAAATACATGAAATGAAATGAACAGAGCATCTCTGCTAGCTCCACCCTTACCTCTGGGGGAAAAAAAACTTTAGGCAACTGTTGTATGGGATTTCTCACATGAGATATTGCAGGTTCTTTCTGCCACCCTTTGGTCAGTGTATTTAATGAAGAGCCATTAACTGAAATGCTTTCAGTATACTAACAATGCATAGTGCTATAAATTTTATTCAGGACTGTCATTAAGCATGAAATTAAGTCCATTGCTATTTAAGACAGTAATTGATTCCATGCTTGACTTTAAGCATAGGCTTAGGTGATATCCCAGACAGAGTTGCTTTTCTAAATCAGGACCTTTATCTCCATCTCATCCAGTCAGGAGTAGAGCTGACTCTCTCAATTACTAGGCAAGATTATGGGTACTGCTGAAGTTTTATGGATTGTGTACTTTAATATTTTACCAGGATGCCCATAGTCTAGGATAGCCACCTTGTTGTCTATTTTAAACAAAAATAAGAACATCTAAAAGGGTGGTATACATCATCTTGCCTTGAGAAGTCATCTCTAACTTGATCTATTTAGAACTGATAAAATAATAAAAATCCTTTTAATCTCTCTCATCCAGGAAGCCTATCACTTCATATGTTTATCACTGAGTATGCAATGTTTGATAAATCTGACATTTATCCTTAAAACCCTTCCATTACATGTGTTCTACTATGATCATCCAACAAAATCAGACATGTTAAAATGTATATTGTAATATGAGACAGGTGCATTCTATCTAAACTTCCCTAGCTGGGTAAAAAGATTTTGCAGTACATACAAAACTTGTGTGTCCATCTGCTTTTCCAAGGACTAGCCAGTGCTTCATTGCTTTCTTTTTCTGTATATCAAGGATTCATGTTGGGGTGAGCATCCATCAGTGCCTACATTCTCTAACCCAGTGACCCTTTGTCTGGGTCAGAAGATTAGTCCACGGATTTGTCATTATTTTGGCTGTAAAAGCCAGCATAGAAGAAGAGTTTGCTCTGGACTGGTGAGCTTTTTATTAATGTTAAAGGACTTAGCACTATCAGTCCCTGCTGGCCCAGGGAGTGAGGGATGGGAGGAGGACTGAACCTGCATTTTATAATTTATATTCTTCTTTCAAGCATTTCTCCAAAACTGAAAATTACCTGTTATACAACATTAGGATTTCAACAATTCTAAACTCCCCACTTGGTAAACTGGGGAACTTTCCAGTTAAAAGCATCACAAATAAATGTGTGCTGATCATGCCTTTTCTTGGCCACCTCTGTTCTTGAGCCAAAATGATGGAGACATCTCTCTGCAGTGCATAGGTAACAGGATTTTCATTAATTTCAGTATGGATTAATGAAATGGAACAGTTGGAGGGTGTGAGGGGTGGGGAATGAGGAATAGCATAACATTACAGGGTGGATAAAAATCAACATTAAAATAAATAACTCTGGTTTCTTTATTTAAATCATTTTTTACTTAATTGTAGTTTTCATTTTTAAAAAGGTGCTTTCTTTTAAAAACCTATATAAAGATAGTTTGAATTTAAGATATGTTAAAGCTCAAAGATACAATCATGGAATAGGGATTATAACTTCTAATTATATATTTAACCTTTTTAGAAAAGTTTTTTATCAATAAGTCAGAACAGGCCATGGACTATATTAGAAGCCCAATCTTATGGGGTTTCCAGAGGCTCCTCTACAGATTAGCAAGGATTAAAGAAAACCACTCTACCCAATGGTACTCAGTGCTGAGTCTCTAGAAAATCCCATTAAGCATGTCTGTGATGCTTAGTTTCAGTTCTCAAACTGTGGATTTGTGTCTCCAGAGGTAACATCCTTGTTAACAGCAGTATATGGAGATAAGAGATAACAGACCTGATTACCTACCCATCAGCCCTATTGTCTCTCTGCAAGTTGTGTACAGAGTCAAGCCCTTACTGCTCCCTAAAAGTGCAAATTTTTAAGTTAAATGAATAGATAGAGGATTGCTGGGGGTGGAGTAGATATGGGGAAGGAGGAGGAGTCTGGGGATAAATGCAAGGAGAGAGGGACAGTAGAAACAAAATGAGAAATGTTTTGAGTAGAATTTTGTTGAAATTGCAAAATACTTCTGTAACCACTTTGCAGCAGCTGCTTTGAAGAAAGCAGGAGGAACCAAATTAATTCTTCCACAAGATGTGTGATGAAACTCAGTAGTGGACTGTTTTGAGTGATATATTGAGAACTGGCATAATCAGGTGACAATTTGTGAACAAAATTGTGACAAAATAGATGGAATTATAGCCAAAGTACTAAACACTGGGCTAAAGAGAAATGTAGAACATATGCTGGCTATCCTGAAGCTTATTTCCATAGCCTTGAGCAAAGGTTATATCAAACAAGAATGCACTTTTTGTAGAAAACAATGATTAAATCGAGGTTTCCTGACCAATGATTTAAATCATGATTTAAATAGATTTCACTTAAATCAAATACACCCTGCAACATTACATGTGTATAAATCCTCAAGGTCTGTGTGCAGTTAGTATAGTTCAGTGGATTGATACACAAAGGGAAATTGTAACTTGCACAACTTTTCCCACAAGATTTTTGGAGACCCCTTCCTGTACAACTAGGGAAGAAGAGAGAATTCCTCAGAGCTGAACAGAAAAATTAAATAAAATCTGAGAAATCAGATGATTCTTTTAGTATCAAAGGTCTGAACCAAGAATAAGTGTGCATTTTTTTAAATAGCACATGTAACAAAACAGCTGATACACAAATGATTTAAAATAATGCATGAATCATTGGGATACTACTTAAATAAATAATAAAAAGCTTAGAGACAGATAGACAAGCTTATTTATACTAAGGTAATGTCTTATCAGCATGACTTTGAGAGAGTCACATTACTCATAGATAGCAAAGGCACAAATTAATCATTTAAGTCACCTCAAATGAGTGCTGATAAGAACTTTATATTATTCCATACGACAGTTTTTTGCTATTTATTTGAAAGAACCTTATAATTACAGTGATAGGTTTAAAAGGTCTCAGTTTTGGAGACATTGGGTTCTTTTTTATAAATTGTATTTTAATAATGATCAAGAGTTGGGGGCAAAAGAACTTTACGGAGCTGAAAGAATTTTCCTAGTCCAATGCTAAGGAGCTAAAACATCAGAATGACAAATCTGTATAAAAGATCTCTTTAGAAAACAGTACCTTTTTCATTTCCAATTACTATAATTCTATAAAAATTAAGAAAAAGATTGACATTTTTAATTATTCCTATTTGCCACTAGATGGAGCTAGAAATCAGGTCTATTTAAAACATGCTAATAATTTCCAGCAGCATCATAAACACAATGATATTGCTGTCATCTGAATGATCAGACATATTCTATCTTCATAAGCAGCAGAAAGAACTTACCCAAGCTTGGGTGAAATGAATAACAGAGGAATTATTTCTATCCACAAACATATTGTATAATTTCGAAGGAAGTGAGATTTCTGCCTTAAAAAAAGAAAACATGCTGGTGCACATATTCTGAACTTGCCAATATTTCTTACAGTTGCAACTGCAATGAAAGCTGCACCACTAAATGTCAATGCATTCAATTAAGAGAGTACTCCTTTGAGCTTCATCCTGTAGTCATTTTCCATTTGAGTCAGTAGAAGAAATGCCAAAAAGAGACAAAAATCAATCTAAAATAATAACACAACAAGAGGGTCCCGAAAAAAAATGCAACAAGTTCTTTGGCATTTAAGGATAAGTAAATGCATCTAGATTCAAAATAGTTTGCTGTGTTGTTACCACATAATCATTTCTCCCCATAACAATCTTCTGTTATTCTCCCACATTATCCTTTACCCTGAAGATTGTGTTTTGTAAAGTGTTCTAAAGCTACTATCATAACCCCCAGTCAACAAGGGGAACTTACCAATGCTTGCCATAGAAATGTCAACTTCCTCATCTTTTTTAGCTGAAACACAACAACAAGATGTTAAATTGGTATTATCCGATACTGGGACTGAAGTTATCCTTTTCAGTATGTAACATTGTTGGGTAATATTCATCACAAGCTTTTCAAATATGTAAAAGTTAAGCATAATGTTTTAAAAAAATATTACAGTACATTTTCAGTTTTCACTATTAGAGTCAGTCCTCAACATTTTCCACATGGTGGCATTTGCAATACCTCAGTATTTTCCTGCACTTACACATCTGTCTACATAAAGATAAAAACTACAAGAAAATAATACTTATTTATTGGGCTCTCATGTAGCATTTTTCTGCAGTAGATCTCAAGGTATTTTCCAAAGAAGACCACTATCATTACAACTCTGGAAACTGAGGCCAGAGGTAAAATGACTTACCTACTGTCACCCCACAGGCCAGTGGCAGAGCCAAAAACAAAACCCAGGCCCTGAATCCCCCAAACCTCAAATAATTCAATCTAAACTACATGTCTCAGAACATTTGTGATATAATAACTTCTGTCTGTTGTGCTTTTGGCCCCTTGCTAATTTACACAAACAATAATGGGGCTCCCCAATTGTTTAGTCCAAAATTGTAGGAAGCTGAAATCTAATTCCAGGACACACCTTTCCATTCTCCACAGTATCATACATACCTAGCTGTTTTCGCTTTCCTTTGGCTGAGCTTTTAGCTTTGGTTTCTCCTTTAAGTTTCTTTGCTGAGCCTTTAGCACTTGAGGACTTGCCAGAGACTGGACTTTCTGACATTTTTCGGATTTCAGTCTGGAAAGATACATCTCATTACTCAGTTGTCCTCAAGGGGTCAAACTTGCTACTGGCCTGAGAATTTCGTCCAAGACTGTCAGGACTACAATAGTCCACACCCTTTG